GGACTTCTCAACCCTGGACAACATGGATTTAGAGCGGGAAGATCCTGTCTCTCACAGTTACTCAACCACTATGGGAGAACATAGATGGAATTACAAATAAAGCAAATGAACTTGGAGAATGGGTACCAGAGGAAAACCCAGACATAATAGCTCTCACAGAAACAAAGCTAACGGAAACCATAACAAATGCAGTGTTCCCACAGGACTATTATGTTATGAGGAAAGAGAGAGAAGAAAGAGGTGGGGGTGGTGAAGCCCTGTTGGTAAGAAAAGGCTGGGATTTTGAGGAGATGGTTGTTCAGGGATGTGAAGATTTCAGTGACTACATAACAGGTACAATAACAACTGGAGGGCAAAAAATTATAGTCGTAGTCATATATAATCCACCACCAAATGACAGAAGACCCAGACAGGAACAATGATAAAAACAACATGGCCACCATTAACATAACAGAGAGAGCAGCTTCTGTTGCTAGCAGAAATGGATTTGGACTACTAATCATGAGACTTCAACCATGGGAAGATAGATTGGGAGAACAGAGACCCACATGGAGGACCAGAAACGTGGAGACCTAAGCTGCTGGACGTGGCAACAAGAAACTTTCTAAGCCAGCACATCAAGGAACCAACAAGAATGAGAGAAGATGAACCAGCAATGCTTGGTTTGATATTTACCCTAAATGAGTGGGATATAAGGGAAGTCAAGATGGAAGCACCCTTGGGAATGAGTGATCACAGTGTATTGAACTTTGAGTACCTGGTAGAGCTAGGAATTATCTCCCCCCCAAAAAGAACTAGGAAACAAAAGGCTGGCATATGGAAAGGGAAATTATGAGATGAGAAGCTTCCTAAGGGAAATACCTTGGGACACAGACCTCAGAGCTAAGTCTGTACAAGATATGATGGACTATGTCACCCAAAAGTGTCAGGAGGCAGTAAGCAGATACATCCCGGCCCAAAAGGAAAAATCAGAGAAGCAAAAGAAGAATCCATGGTATAATAAGGCATGTATGGAAGCAAAGAAACTGAACAAAAGGGCGTGGAGGAACTTTAGGAATAACAGAACACCAGTAAACAGAGAGAGATACCAGAGAACCAGGAATGAGTATGTCAGGGTGAGAAGAGAAGCAGAGAAAAGTTATGAAAATGATATAGCAAACAAAGCCAAGACCGAACCAAAGCTATTCCACAGTCACATCAGAAGGAAAAAAACAGTGAAAGAACAGGTAGTGAAACTTAGAACAGGCGAGGACAGGTATACAGAGAATGACAAAGAAGTGTGTGAAGAACTCAACAAGAGGTTCCAGGAGGTCTTCACAACAGAACAAGGTGAGGTCACTGTGCTAGGAGAAAGGGACGTAAACCAGGCGGCCTTGGAAGGGTTCGAAATTACGAGAGAGGAGGTCAAGAGACACCTGCTGGATCTGGATGTTAGAAAGGCTGTTGGTCCAGACGAGATCTCGCCATGGGTACTGAAAGAGTGTGCAGAGGCACTTTGCTTGGCACTCTCCATAGTGTATAGTAAGTCACTGGAGACGGGAGACCTACCAGAAATATGGAAGACGGCGAATGTGGCCCCAATATACAAAAAGGGCGACAGGCAAGAGGCATTGAACTACAGGCCAGTATTTTTGACTTGTATACTATGCAAGGTGATGGATAAGATCGTGAGAAAAAACCTGGTAGCACATCTGGAGAGAAGGGACTTCGTGACAAATCGCCAACATGGATTCAGGGAGGGTCAATCTTGCCTGACTGGCTTAATAGAATTCTACGACCAGGTGACAGAGATTAAGCAAGAAAGAGAGGGCTGGGCGGACTGCATTTTCTTGGACTATCGGAAAGCCTTTGACACAGTACCGCATAAGAGGCTGGTACATAAGCTGGAGAGGCAGGCAGGTGTAGCTGGTAAGGTGCTCCAGTGGATAAGGGAGTACCTGAGCAGTAGGAAGCAGAGAGTTACAGTGAGGGGTGAGACCTCAGATTGGCGTGAAGTCACCAGTGGAGTCCCACAGGGCTCTGTACTCGGTCCTGTCTTATTTTTGATATATGTAAATGATCTCCCGGAGGGTATAGATTCATTTCTCTCAATGTTTGCGGACGATGCCAAAATTATGAGAAGGATTAAGACAGAGGAGACTGATTGAGGCTTCAAGAAGACCTAGACAAGCTGAAGGAATGGTCAAATAAATGGTTGTTAGAGTTTAGCCCAAGCAAATGTAATGAAGATAGGTATAGGGAGCAGGAGGCCAGATACAAGGTACCATCTGGGAGATGAAATACTTCAAGAGTCAGAGAAAGAAAAAGACTTGGGGGTTGATATCACGCCAGACCTGTCTCCTGCAGCCCATATCAAGAGGATAACATCAGCGGCATATGCCAGGCTGGCCAACATAAGAACGGCATTCAGAAACTTGTGTAAAGAATCATTCAGAACTTTGTATACCACATATGTTAGGCCAATCCTGGAGTATGCAGCTCCAGCATGGAGTCCATATCTAGTCAAGGATAAAACTAAACTGGAAAAGGTTCAAAGGTTTGCCACCAGACTAGTACCCGAGCTGAGAGGTATGAGCTACGAGGAGAGACTACGGGAATTAAACCTCACTTCGCTGGAAGACAGAAGAGTTAGGGGGGCGGGGACATGATCACCACATTAAAGATTCTCTCACACACACAGGTAGATAAAGATAGGGTAGATAAAGACAGTCTATTTAACACAAGGGGCACACGCACTAGGACACAGGTGGAAACTGTGCCCAAATGAGCTCATAGATGTTAGAAAGAACTTTTTAGTGTCAGAGTGGTTGACAAATGGAATGCATTAGGAAGTGATGTGGTGGAGGTTGACTCCATACACAATTTCAAGTGTAGATATGATAGAGCCCAATAGACTCAGGAATCTGTGCACCTGTTGATTGACGGTTGAGAGGCAGGACCAAGGAGCTAAAGCTCAACCCCCGCAAGCACAACTAGGTGAGCACACACACACACACACACACACACACACACACACACACACACACACACACACACACACACACACACACACACACACACACACACACCCCCCACACACACACACACACACACACACACACACACACACACACACACACACACACACACACACACACACACACACACACACACACACACACACACACACACACACACACACACACACACACACACACACACACACACACACACACACACACACACACACACACACACACACACACACACACACACACACACACACACACCACACACACCACACACACCACACACACACCACACACACCCCACACACCACACACACACCACACCCCACACACCACACACACCACACACACACACACACACACACACACACACACACACACACACAGGCGCCGTGGTTCTTGGCCTGGGTTTCAGCTGTCCTCGGCCTTGATTCATGGGTCATCCCAATGTACTGCGACCCATTACGTTACTCATGCCTCGTGTTGCTGACCCATGAGTCTTCCTGCAGTCATGTGATTTTCCAAAATAGAATTTCAACCATGGCTACCATAATGGTACTGGTCCCCGGGGATTGCCTTCTAGGAAAGGATCAATGCAGGGCGGGATATTCCAGCCGGGGTGCTGCCACCGCCACCTACTTCACTTTAACACCATCACCAACGACCATATTAGTATAATAACTCCTACATACACAGTTATATATACATAGGATGATTTGGGTGCATCCTCATAATGCACCCAAAATTTGCCAGTGCAGGCTACTGAACATATGGCCCTGTATGACTAACCATCCTGCGAGATGAGGACTTATAGTATCACTGCTGCCTTATTCACTCTTGTGTTGATGATGATATCCTCATAATACACTCAAGAGTTTGCCAGTGCAGATTACTTATCACATGCCTCTGTATGACTTACCATCCTGTGTGATGGGAATTTTAGCATCATGTAGCTAGTTTTGTGACACTGTTCTCCCCTTCAAATGGCAGGGCAGAACAAACGTCTAGTGCAGCTGCACACATGCAGGTTTTTCTAAATGTGTTTATAAAACAAAACAAAATTCCTTAAGGTTAATTTAATTTAGTACAGTAGTTTCATTGCTCCATAATAACTCCATGAAAGGGAAGAAGGGCTAAACAGAGGGGAGGGAATGAAGAGGGGGAGGATAGGGAAAGACGTTGAAGGTAAGAACGGAAGGGAGGAGGGGCATAGGATGAGGGGGGAAGGGAGGACAGGCAAGGAAGAAAAAGATAAGGGGGGGGGGTGAAACTGGACGTTAATGTGAATAAAATTTGAGAATGTTTAATTTCCCTTTATGGTCATTGGAATATTTCCAACTTTATTTATGTGCAATCTCCTTCAGTTTTCCTTGACAAAAAAACTAGTCCATTATAAAGAAAATATTATTAGTAATTTGTTTCAAATGCTTGTTCATGTGTACAAGTGCATAACTAAACCCCACCCACAAATCTCAAATCACGTCATTTTTAGGCACTTTGAAAATTTTCATTCATATTTTTATTTTCATTATAACCAAATCTATCAAAGGTAGATTTGTATATTCTGTTTGAAAGTAGGCTTATGTAACATGATTACTGCACACTCTGGTTCGCTCAGTCACGGTGGGTCATGGTCTCTTAATAATTTTGGAAGTGATGTCTTCAGCTTTGCCATTTTGTTGTTTTGGCAGTGAACCATATTTTATCCATAAGTTATTTACTAAAACATTTTAATTGTTCCTTTTGATTTGATAAAATATTAAGCTTACTGGGGGTAGTTTTGTTTTATCTTGTATACCCTTTCTATTGTAGTCTTATTATTTATAAGTTTTATGGAAAATTTTTATCATTATCTCTTTATTAGTGTTTGTTCTAGTAAGTACTGTATATGTTATTAATGGTGGTGATTTACTGAATGAATTAACCATGTATATATGCTTAGTTGTATCTAGGCTTCTGATGATTAACACAACACTTATCTTTTTTCTCCAGATGGAGGAGCTACAGATGGCAGCCCTAAAGATGCTCAGGACTCAAAAGATGGCAAACCTCGTCCGCCACCTGTTGACGTAAGTTGCTCCGACAAGCGTTAATAAAATGGCCAGATATATTGTCACAGATCATGCAATAATTTGATTAGGTTTTCCGCTGACAGCAGATGGGCTATCATTGTTACCTTCTTTACACCACACTGGTTGTTTCTCTTCTAAATCATTACTTTGTGGCCAGGCTTTGAAGAGTAAAACAACTATCTGCATGCCACCATTTCTCTGTCGGTGGATGCTTTATTGACTGATCCTGTTTCCTTGGTTCCCTGTTCCAGCGCTGACATTTCCCAGGTAGTTCATAGTGTCCTGAAGTCTAATGAGCCTGCAGGCTACCCTCAGGTCCATGACGTTTGTAAATGTGTGGCTTTGGCTGCCATCTTTAATATGCTCTGGGCTGATATTCAAGCTCAGGGATTTGAGCATTCTAACAGGGTGCTTGTGGCCTGTGTTACGGCCACTATGGGTCGCAACCGGGTTCTTTGCTGGAGGAACCAAAGTACTAGTATCCGACCCCAAGTCGGTAGTGGCTTTCAAGGAGTGAGTTTGGTAACGCAAGTAAAACACAAGGGGGAAGTTGAAAGGAATACGACATTTCATCAATTATCAATATATTCACATTATCACTTTCCCATCACCTTAAATAGAATCATAAACGAAGTATTACTACACTGATATATACACGTGTCGCTCTCATAGGACACTAAGCGCTCCTCGATGCTCGTGCAATGCAGCTTTGTCAACTTCCGTGTTTCCTCAACACACAGTACCGTCCTCAACCAGTACTGGGAAACACCAACGAGTCTACCCTAGCCACGGGCCAGCCTATCTACAGTCTCACTAGGTGCTCCTTGTGAACGCCCACAATCACTCTCCAGCCTGGTGCTGGCAGAGAACATCAGCCTCCCCCTGCTGAGCCTCTACACGAACAAATACAAGGGTAACGAACCCCTGGCAGGAGCTTCTTGCAACTAGCTAGTTACACTCCTTCGTAGCACCTCACTGTCAGTCGTCTCTTCCTCTAGCTAGTCCCGGGATACGCCACGGGAGTATCACGGGAGACATCTCCCGTCACGCAGGGGTGCAGTCGCACCTCCACAGATCTCCACAGATGGCTCAAAAGGGCCACCACTTTCGGGCTATTCATGTCCGTGCCACCTTTTGGGTGGCTTAATCTTCATCAATCGGGATACGCCGAATTCTGTCACTGCCACTTCACAGGCAGACAGCAGATACTGCTCAGTTCCTCTTTGGTGGCGGCTCACTGCTCACATAAAGCAGAATGGAGTAGAGAGATAATGGCTGCCCTGGGTAGACTGCCTGTCTTCGTACCACCTCAGCCCTACGTCGCCTGTGTGGATACAGACACCTCATCAGTAAACTGCCCAGTACTTGGGACACTAGGAAATACAACTTACGGACTCTGACATTGACATACACCTCCTCCCACAATAGATGGCGCTGATTTTCTAGGCGCCACCTCAGAGGTCAGCTACAGCGACCCATCGAGCTGACCAGGGCAGGAATCTAGCGTCTCTTGCAGGTATCATACTGCCACCATCAGATGGCGTCGTCCATTTTGTGGGGGTTTAGGGAGCAGACTCACAGATGGCGTTGACGTCGCTGCTCCATGCTCCGACGATAGAGTTGGGTTCGAAACAGCCTGGTCTTTGGTTAATGTTCCTAGGCCCGGTCAGCCATGTGTGGTTTTGGACCATGTCACCCAGCCTGATTTCTCATCGTCTTGAGAGCCCGCCACGTCTCCTCCTACCCTGTAAATCTCTTACTTGTTTTCTGATTAAATTAACTCAAGAAACCCAGAACTGAATGCCAGTTTCTGGAGGAGCTTCCCTACACAAGGAAGGGAGCAAAGTATTGGCTAAGAATTATAGACCAGTCGCACTAACGTCCCATATAATAAAAATTGAGGCATGGCTCCTCTTGATGTCATTCACCTCGTGTCTTGCATGCCAGCCCTTGGAGCTGGCATGCAAGTCATGCTGTCAATTAGCCCAGCTTCTGCATTGACCAGGGGTCTTGAAGTGGATAGAGTATAACTGTATATTAGCTGGTTATTGATTGCTGGTCTAGATATAGATGAAAGATCCAGGTCTAGAATGAAAGTAAACAAACTGATCGAAACTGTCAATGCGAAAAAGTCCGATCTTCACCTATCAATAATCACTGGAGAATTCAAACTCTGCTATGCATATGGAAACGTCAAAACACACAAACCTGGGAACCCACTGAGTACCAACGCCCACGTACAAGCTGGCTAAATGACTCAACTCGCTGTTGGCACCCTACATACCAAATGTGTTTAGTCTAAGGTCGCCGAAGGAACTCGGTGACCTGTTAAGAGGATCACGGGCCACAAGTGTAAGAGCCTCCCTGGACATAAGTTCAGGGAAGCTCCCTTAGTCACTGTTGACTAATGTGCCCGTGGACAAGACTATTGGAATAATGATGGACAGCGTGTATCGAGATCCGATTAGCTCTCCTCTTGACATACCAGAGAGCATATTAAGAAAGCTGCTTGAAGCTTGGACAAAATAGTCCTGACGGACACATGTACAGTATAAGCAAGTGGACAGCGTCGCCATGGGCTCCCGGCTGAGTGTCTTGTTCGCAAACTTTTACAAGGGTACTATTGAGCAGAGTTCTGGTCGGATTAAACCTAAATCCTGCCATCTACTGCAGGTATGTTGACGACATGTTTGTATAAGTCCAGGATACCGAACGGCCATTGTAATTGAAGGAAGCTTTCGAGCTAAACTCGGTTTTAAACTTCACTTATGAGAAGGAGAGTGGGGGTAAGCTGCCCTTAGATGTAGCAGTCATGCAAAGGAAAGGCAGCTTCCATCATGCAGTACATACTAAGAAGACAAACATGGGGATGTGCCTTAACGCTGACAGTGACTGTCCGGAGAGAAACAAATGGTGTGTTGTGAACGCTTACATCGACCGAGCTCTCACTCACAGCTCTGGGTGGAAGCAGGTACTCACCTAGTTGTACTTGCCTAGTTATGCTTGCGGGGGTTGAGCTTTGTCTCTTTGGCCCGTCAATCAACTGGTGTACAGATTCCTGAGCCTACTGAGCTCTATCCTCGTTGGATACTGGGTGGATAAGGAGTTATATAGAATAAGGCAGATTTTGGTCAACAATGGCTTCTCCAATGGTTATGTCGAAGACATAATAAAAAGGAAGGTGGCGAGGTGTGCAACAGGCAATGGAACAGCTAATACCGCAATACCCGTACTTTTAATAAAATTGTTCTACAGAAACTAATTCTCCACGGCTCTACAAATTAGAGGAAAGAGCCCTAAAAGAGATAATTGAGAGGAACATTACCCCAACTGACATCAACCAAAAGATGAAACTAACAATATATTATAAAAGTAGGAAAACTGCCAACCTGTTAATGAAGAATTCACCTGGCACCAAGAAAAATGCCTGGAAAGAGACCAACGTTGTATACGCCTTCACGTTCCCACTTGGGGATTGTCAGCCCCAACAAACTCAGTATATATAGGCAAGACAACAATGTCTCTCTCAAGGCATTTAACAATGCACAAACAACAGGGCTCCATCAAGGAACATATAATCGCCACACACAACGAGACGATCATCAGTGATATTTTGACGAGCAACACCGAAGTAATTGATAGATACAATGACAATAGAAGATTAGACATCAGTGAAAGGCTGCATATCAAGAAATCTAGACCAGCAATCAATAGCCAGCTAATACACAGTTTCACTACCCACTTCAAGACCCCGGGTCAGTGCAGAAGCAGGACGGAATGACCGTGAGCAACACAAATGCGAACAAGCTTGAATGGTCCCCAACCCAATATGCAACTGATTGCATAGTGCTCCTGGCTGTCTGGATTTGAATCCTTCTGGGGTGTGGAGTTTTCAGTTGCATATTGGCTTGGGGACCATTCAAGCTTGTTTGCTTGCATGTGTGTACTCACCTAGTTATACTCATTAGTTGTGTTTGCGGGGGGTTGAGCTTTGACTCTGGTCCCGCCTCTCAACTGTCAATCAACTGGTCATGGTGTGTGTGTGTGTGTACTCACCTAGTTGTGCTTGTGGGGGTTGAGCTCTGGCTCTTTGGTCCTGCCTCTCAACCGTCAATCAACAGGTGTACAGGTTCCTGATCTATCATATCTACACTTGAAACTGTGTATGGAGTCAGCCTCCACCACATCACTTCCTAATGCATTCCATTTGTCAACCACTCTGACACTAACAAAGCTCTTTCTAATATCTCTGTGGCTCATTTGGGCACTCAGTTTCCACCTGTGTCCCCTTGTGCGTGTGCCCCTTGTGTTAAATAACTTGTCTTTATCAACCCTGTCAATTCTGAAGTTCCAGGAGTTCCTCAGTGGTCAGTTCCTCACTGTGCTCCTCCACTAACTCCTGCACATCAGCAGCATCCAACTCCAGACCCAAAGTTTGCCCCAGAGCAACAATATCATCCACTAGATGCACTTCCGGGTCTTCCACAGGTGCAGATGCAAGTGGAGGACCGAAACCTTCGAAGTCTCACTCAGGGACACCCTCAGGCCATGGTTACGCCATGCAGAGTTTAGGGTCCTCCGTGTCACTCCTTCCCAGGCCTTATCGATCAAACGTAAGGCACCCAGGATATTGAAGTGGTTCTTCCAGAATTCTTTGAGGGTCAGCTCTGTATTGTCTATCACATCAACACACCTCTTCAACAAGGCCTTCATGTAGAATTTCTTAAAATTTGTAATGACTTTCTGGTCCATAGGTTGGAGGAATGGAGTGGTATTGGGAGGAAGGAACTTGGTGATGGATTGATTTTTGGGATAAAATTCTTCTCGCATCTGTGGAGGATGTGCAGGAGCATTATCGAGCACAAGCAAGGCATTGAGTGGCAAGTGCTTCTCTTCAAGATATTTCCTCACTGAAGGGCCAAAAACATCATTGACCCATTCAGTGAAGAATATCCACGTGACCCAGGATTTCTTATTGGACCTCCACATCACATTCAGTCGTGCCTTGTACACTTTACACGCCTTGAACACGCGTGGATTTTCTGAGTGGTAGACGAGCAGCGGCTTGACCTTGCAATCGCCACTTGCATTGGCACAGAGCACGAGAGTAAGTCGATCCTTCATCAGTTTGTGGCGAGGCAAAGATTGTTCCTCCTGTGTGATGTAGGTCCTCTTTGTCATTTTCTTCCAAAAACTGGCCAGTCTCGTCAAAATTAAAAACGTGTTAGGGCAAGAACTCCCTCTAGCAACAAATTCCTGGAACTCTGGTAAAAATTTCTCGGCAGCAGCTTTATCAGAGCTGGCAGCCTCCCCATGTCGCACAACACTGTGGATACCGCTTCTCTTCCTAAATTTCTCAAACCATCCACGGCTTGCCTTAAATATCTCCTCCTCTTCAGACGATGCACCTGGTGTCGTCCTGACAAGGTCCACATACAACTTCTTGGCCTTTGCACAAACAAGAGCTTCAGACACACTATCGCCATGTAATTGCCTTTCATTCATCCAAACTAGCAGTAGCTTTTCAACCTCTTTTAGGATTTTTGGACGTTTCTTGTTAACCTTGGTAACTCCTTTAGCCACCAAGTGTGTTAAATTGTTCCTTCCTCTTCAGAATGGTACAAATAGTTGATGAGGACCTGCCATACTCCCTGACGAGATCAGTCACATGCACACCACGCTCATGCTTTGCTATGATTTCCTTCTTCACTTCCACGGTAATTGTCGCTTTCTTCCCCTTCCCAACACTGTCTTTAGCAAGCAGCAGCTTTGGCGACATAGTGTGTTACAGATTGCAGTCACAAAACCACAAAAAAAGAGAAAATCACAAATAAATCCAGAGGGATGCTTGTCGTGTGCTATACAACAACAACACTGGTGTCGGAGGCGTCTGAGAATTTGCGAGAACCCGCGAGATGCTAGGAAGCACCATGTGGTTTTGCTGGTTAATAGAGGTGAAGCTCGTCAATACAATAGAGACAAATTTGCTGCGAGTGGCTTGCTCGTTACGGGAAATGCTTGTAAATAGAGCCGCTCGTTAATTGAGGTGCCACTGTAACTGTAGAAGGTCTCTTGCTGCTTCTGTGTTGGTTCGGGATTTTGAAGTGGGTAGAATATAGTTGTGCATTAATTGGCTGTTTATTGCTGGTGTTGAGTTTTTGTGTGGTGCACCTCACTGATGTCGAGTCTCCTGCTATCGCTGTATTTATCGATGATTTCTGTGTTGCTTGTTAAGATTTCTCTGATGTCTGGTTGTGAGAAGAGATTATATGTTCTTTGATGGAGCCCTATTGTTTGTGCATTGTTAATCGCCTAGAAAATGACGTTGTTGTCTTGCCTATATACCGAGTTCTTTGGGGCTTAGTCTCCAAGTGGGCATGTGAAGGCATAGACGACGTTGGTTTCCTTCAAGGCATTCTGTTTGGTGTCTGGGGAGTTTTTCATGAGTATGTTGGCCATTGTTTTGTTTTTGTAGTAAATTGTCAATTGTATTTTATGATTTTTGTCTGTAGGGATAACATTCCTATTAATATCATCTTTCAGGACTCTTTCCTCTGTTTTATGAGCCGTCGAAAAGAAGTTCCTGTAAAACAGTCTAATCGGGGGTACAAGTGTTGTGCTAGTTGACTCTTCAGAGGTTGCATGGCATTTCACCCTTCTTTTTATGACGTTCAATCAACTCTTTGATCCACTACTTCTTCGATCAACTGTTCTCATGACGTATCTAGTTATTGATATGTTTCTTAATTCTATGTACAAGTAGCCATTAACATCGAATCAACATTTTTTATGACTTAATTGTGGTGTGTGTTTTTCAGATTGCAGCAGCACAAAATGCAGGTCAAGATGGTGGCATCAAAACCCCCACAAACGCCTCCCAAACTCCGAAATATTATGCTGGCCCTTCCCGTTATGATACCTTTCGAGACAAAGAGCGTAAGATTGGCCACAGAAGGGTTGATGAAGGTGGAGTGGTCACATACAAGAAGGTAAGATATTTTATACTATTTGGACTTCATTTAATATGTAAAGTGTTCATTTGTACTTTACAGTACAGTATATAGGCAAGATAATGAATGCTCACACTATAGTAGAAGAATTATGTACTGTTCAGTATAGTAAGGTCTACCTTTAATAACATATCATATTAACAAAACTTAATCAATATTTTTAAAGTATCAAATTGACTCGGATAAGGTGACCACTCTAGAGTATATACAGTACTCGACATAAAGATTTTTTCCATTTAATACAAAAAATTGTCCTGGCAGTAAGCATCCAGCCATGCAAAACTTTTGTTGATTCCCAGAAAACATAAAAATGAGCTAAAAAATATATGTACAGTATTCATAAAAATACAATAAAGCCATTAGTTTAATGAAAAGTTGCACTTTTTCAACAGGCTACAAACTAGATAGTTTCGTAAAAACTAAACTGTTCTGAAATGAAATGAAGTATATGTTCAACCATTCAAGACATTTTAAAATCACGATTACTGTATGTTGAATAATGTTAGCTGAATGAGGATTGCCTCCATAGTCAGATGCAAGTGGTCGAGTAAAAGGAAATGGGAAAAGATGGAGAGGCACAAGGTCAAAAAAGAAAAGTAGCCATTCAATGTTAGGTTCCACAAGCACAATTTAGAGAATGTTTTGTGAACATTAGATGTTTCTGACACATCAAACTACCAACAGATCCTAGAAATACTGTACAGTACAGTACTGTATTGCCATAACAATAGGTTTTCAAGAGGAACCTAGATATGTTCCTGTGGCAAGTGACCCATTAGCTGGGCTTTGGTGGCTGTGCTGGCCACAGAACCAGGGAAGTAATTGCTTTTAAAACAGGTCACAGATTAACTACAGGTAAATGGAAATGGGTAACAAAAACAAAGTAGACTATCTGTAAGGTAAAAGGGGGAAGTCTTTATTATTTTTCTCATGATAATTCGTCCATTGGAGAACAGCCATCTGGTGTATAGTGTATTTCTTTTAAAGAAAATGTAAAATATATACAGTAAATTAATTTTTGTTTTAATTATTGGAGATGAAGGAGAGTGAGTGAACTTCAAAATTTTGCAAGTTTGAAGTTTTGTAGATAAGTATGCATGTAGCTGGGGCCCTGACAATATGGATGATGTACATTAAACAAAAGCTTTAAGGATCATTGATAGCTCAAGAAATTTGGGTTAAAATACTGTCATGATGGAGGAAAGGACAGTACACTATGTTCTTTAATAATACTGGAGACAGGCAAGCTCTTTGACACACTGATGCATTAGATAAATGGTATCATTTATTGTTTTGCAAATTTCATTTGAATGTATTCATCATAAATTACTTGTTGCTTTCAAGGTATAAAGAGTCGGGTGTCTATTGTGTGTGTGCCTTCACTAGCTGTGATAAATACATATACTGTACGTGTGAGAAGTTTTATCTACAGTTCAATATATTGATAATGGTGAGGAAGTTTCATTGCAAGTGAGGTCAGAGTTAAATGGGATAAAACACCATACATTGCAATTCAAAATATGTTTTGTGAATTTTTAAACAGTTTAGCTTGTTAGACAATATAGAGATATGATACTGTATTATATATGACTAAGATTGTGAATTAATAAGCCATTATTCATCCACACAGATTGGGACTAACCAGTTGATGGGTTCCATTCAGTTGGGGATCCAGCAAGCAGTGGGAAGCTTGGCGAGTAAACCTGAGCTAGATGTTTTAATTCAAGATTTTTATGTGGTAGAAACTATATTCTTTCCTAATACTGGTTCTCAGTCAACACCAGCACATCAATTTTCTGATTTCAGGTGAGTTTTAGCTTTATCAAGGTAGTAGTTATGACTATTGTCTATACTGTGTTAATAATATACTGTATATGTATTTGAAAATATGAAAATTGGTTTATAATTTTTGTCTATTTTCATCAATACAGAGAGCATGTTTTTCTTACTAGATATGTAATAACAAAAATACCTTTACTGTATTTTTTTTGGTGTGGCCTTTTGACCCTAGGTAAGGAATAGGATAGGGCCTGAAAAAATAAAGTGCTGAGTGTAATGAAATGCCCTTTTCTGGGCAGCTTCAGTAGCTACCCAGCTCCCTAGCTCTGGTACCCCAGAGACAGCCACAACTTACCAAGTAACTGGGTTTTCACAATCCTACTGGACATTAGAACCAGAATCTGGTATTCTCAAGAAAGCAAGAGGAGCATGGAGGATCTAAGATCAACTTCTTAAATAAAACTGCCAAGTAATACAGTAAAAGTGAACAAAGAAAATCTACTGCATATATCTTGATAAAACAAAGATGAGATGGAAATAAGGAAAGCAGTAGCTTGCCCAATTTAAACAAACCAGCTCCAGTCATCTGAAGGTTCACTTGCCTACCCTATTAACTCAAATGCCACCCCAATATACAGTAGCCAAAATCCCCATGGAAAAGTAAAGTAAAATAAATGATACAAGAAGTTACTGAGGCTGCCCAGAAAAGGATGTTTCATTATGTTCACTGCTTGATTTATGGTCTATGTTGATTGAGTTCTCTATCAGCGTACCAAAGCATTGCACCTCTGCATTTCAAAGAGGTTATTGTGCACATTCTGCCATGCCTACTGGTTTCATGTGATGTTACAGGTAGACGTTTGACATGGATAAAAAATGTTCTAATTGACGAAAATTGAGGACAGTTATCAGAGGCAATGTATCAGACCGGAGAAGTGTTATCAGTGGAGTACTGGGTTCAGTTCTAGCACCAGTAATGTTCATTGTCTATATAAAAGATCCACCAGAAGGAATACAGAATTATATAAATGTTTGCTGATGATGCCAAGCTATTAGGGCAAATAAGAAATTTAAATGATTGTCATGCCCTTCAAGACCTGGATTACATAAGTGGATGGAATTTAATGGGAATAATTGCCATGTTATGGACTGTGGAATTGGAATAAATAGGGCACACACACAGCCTACAAATTGCGAAAAAGCTTTTCAGAATTCTGATAAAAAAAGAGGTCTAGGGGGGGTTCTGAATAAAAAAAAAACTGTCACCTGAGAATCACATTAACACTATGCATGAAGCATGTGCTATACTTTCCAACTTTAGAATCACTTTTAAATTTATGGATTTAATATTAAAATATTATATTAAAATATTATATTAAAATATTAGAGAAATTGTTCACGATCTTTGTGAAGCCAATGTTTTAATTTGAAGCAGATGTGTGGTGCCCATATCTTAAGAAGTGCATCAATAAACTGAAAAAGGTGCAAAGGCATGCTACAAAAATGCTTCCAAAACTGAAAAACAGAGTTATGAAGAGAGGCTAGATGCATTAAATATGCCAAAACTAAAAGACAGAAGAATAAGAGGCAATATGGTCACCATTTACAAGATGATAATAGGAATCAACCAAATTGACAATAATTCCTAAAACCGGCAACCTCAAGAACAAGAGGTCACAGATTCAAGCTAAGGAAACAAAGGTACCCAACAAAATATTAGCTTTTTCTTTTGCAAACAGAGTGGTAGATGGAACCAATTGAGGTGGTGGGGGTGGCCACATCCATTGATAGTTTCAAAGTGTTATATGACAGAGTATGTTCTGGGAAGATGGGAGACCACGGGCACAGCTCTCATCCTGAAACTACAATTAGGTAATTACACTTAGGTAATTATACACATACATATATACATAATGACTCCAAAAAAGGTGACGTTACTGGTTTAGTCGGCATGAGATGCGTAGTTGCTGACATAGTGATGATGGTGAAGAAGACTGAAATTGTCAATTTGGATGCTTTTTATATTCATTGCTTCACTTTAGTTTACACAATGTGTTTAAATATCACAATTTATGTATGAATACAAAAATGGAGTACTGTACATAGGCCTACAACATATGTACACCTGTACTGCACATAAACTTTTCCTGGCACAGCTCAAAGGAAATTTCATGCAACCCTCCCTTTGCTGCTACTGTCTGGAAAAATTTTCCAGAAATAGATTCCAACAATGATGGTAAAGGCAAATTGTGATTTGATGATAATTGCAGGCCACTAGTACCTGATAACCTCATTACATAGTAGGCAGTTAAAAACAATAAAAGAATTTTGTCATTGGTCTTGGTTAACTCCATTACATTCATACATATATACAATATTATAATTATATTTGCATAGATTGTATGATAACCAGGAAATATAACTAAAATCAGCAAATGACTATAACTGCAGTAGTCATGGAGATCAATATTTTGACAGTAGGTTACTCGTTAAGGGTTAAAAAAATGAGTATCTTTTTAATAGCATAGATGAAAATTTAAATTAAGTATATCTCTCTCTTACTATAAATGCAAATTTTGCTGAATTTTCATCAGCATTTCAACCCTTGGTGGGGACAAATCTGAAAATGAGGCTTCACAGTCAGAGTTAAATCACTTTTATTTTAATTTTAATAATTTACTGTACTGTATTTGTATTTTAGTTTTGTTAGACCATTTATATTTGTTTCCTAAACAACTTTGTGTATCTGTAAGAATTGTGTTGCATCATAATGGTTTTAGATGCTATATAATATTTACAGTACTGTATATACTTAGCTGTTGGAAGTGATGATCTTAGGAATCGGTTAGAGAGAACTTAACACTTTCACGCTCTGGGCGCACGACCTCCCCACTACCGCGGGTGGGTTTGGGTATTCCACAGGAACGCGCAGTTATTCTGAAAAGTGAATACTCTTTTCAACTTATGACAAGAATTGAGGTGACAAAGATATTCAATTTGGTATCAATGTGTTCGCAATAGAATTCTCCATAGGAGTAAATGCATATAAACTCCAAAAGCCCGGCTTACCACCCACAGCAACAGAGAAAGTGCGAGCGAGTGACCCGGGAGCGTGCAAGAGTGATAAAATGTGTACACTCTTTTCACTTTGGTCACCTCAATTTTTGTCCTAGGTTTTTCATTTTGGTATCAATGGGTTTGCAATAAATTCTCTAGAGGAGTATATGCATACAAAATAAAAAAAACCTGGTCGCTGTCCACCCGCCGACAAGTTAAAGACGGGCCAAGTGTTACCCGCGAAGGAGCGCCCAGAAGCCCACCCGCTACACCCCCAATTCCCACCCACAAATGTTTAGTATATTTTCATCAATTTTCATGTTACAGCACTTATTTTGGTATGAAATTTTTTCTAATAGAATGCTTTAGATGGATACTTGCATGTAAGGGCAAATTGAAGAACAATATTGCAAACAAATCACTTGGGCTATTCTGCTTTGAGTACTATTCAATACTCACTTTCCCCTTCAGAGCAGGAAAGATTGCTGAAATAGAGGGAATACAGAGTACATGTACAGCACGCATAGCCAGGAAAAAGCATCTAAACTATTGGGATCATCACAAAGCTCTCAAAATGTACTCTCTAGAAAGGAGACAAGAGAAGTATGAAATTATATAGACATGGAAAATATTGGAGGGCATGATCCCTAATTTGCACGTAAAATAGCAACACTGTCATGAATGATATGAAAGGAAATGCAGAATAGAACCAGTGAAAAGTAGAGGTAGAGGTGCCATGGACTTAGAGAACTGTATGAACATCAGAGGCCCACGGTTGTTCAGTATCCTCCCAGCAGAAATAAGAAATATTGTCAGAACAAAAGTGGAAGTCTTCAAGAAAAAACTAGACAGTTTTCTACAAGAAGTGCCTGATCAACCGGGCTGTAGTGGATATGTGCTGCTGCGGGTCACTCGCTTGTCGGCGAGAAGCAACAGCCTGCCGGACCAAACTCTCACAAGCCACAAGCCCCGAGCTGGGCTTGGGGAGTAGAATAACTCCCAGAACCCCATCCAAGTTCAATCCAGGTACTGACTACCTTCCATCAGTTGGGAGTTTTTTGGTGTTACCTCTGTATGTGCTGCTCCTTGTTCTTACTCTAACTTCTCAACACACTGCCTTCAGAAATTAATTTGTTTTATAATTCACATGTTATTGCATCAGTTCATCCACATCTTATTTCCATATAGCAATCATTTATTATATATTTCTCTTGCTCCCATATGTTATTTTAACTTTTAACTGTGTTATTGATTTCAGATTCAAGGTTTATGCCCCCATAGCATTTAGACACTTTAGAGATCTGTTTAGAATTCAACCCGAGGACTATCTTGTGAGTATAATATTTAGTAGCTCTCTTTTTTATATTTGCATGGTTGATTAGTATTCATTAAGCAGTGTTTAAGTACTGATTATTAGACAAAAAATAATTTCCAAGTTTACTTGTAAAATTAGTGCAAGTTCTTATTGGGTCTTACAGTATATTTCTTTCAACATATCAAGGTCTGTATGCTGAATGCTAGTACAGTGGTACCTCAGCTTACGAATTTAATCTGTTCCCAGAGATGGCTCGTAAGCCAAATATTCATAAACTAAAGTGAATTTCCCTGTAAGAAATAATGTAAGTTGAATTAATCCGTTCCAGACTCCCCCCCCCCCCCCCAAATTAACTTCAAAGTAAATTTTATTCCTAATTCATCCAAATCTTCAGTACTAAAGTATGTACAAGTTATTACTTACCTTTACTGATGACTCTTGTTGGCGTATGGATGACGATGAGGAGGGGGGAGGAGGAGAGAACATTCCCTGAACATGTCTATCTAAAAATAAATAAAGCCTGGTTGATCAGGTATCCTTATCTTGCCTTGAAGTTACCTTGAAGTGTTTCCGGGGATTAGTGTCCCCGCAGCCTGATTGTCGACCAGGCTTCCTCGTTGCTGGACTGGTCAACCGGGCTGTTGGATGCAGCTGCTCGCAGCCTGACGTATGAATCACAGCCTTGTTGATCAGGTATCCTTTGGAGGTGCTTATCGAGTTCTCTCTTGAACACTGTGAGGGGTCGGCCAGTTATGCCCCTTATGTGTAGTGGAAGCTTGTTGAACAGTCTCGGGCCTCTGATGTTGATAGAGTTCTCTCTGAGTACCTGTTGCACCTCTGCTCTTCAACCGGGTATTCTGCACACCACCTTTGGAGGTGTTTATCAAGTTCTCTCTCAAACACTGTGCAAGGTCGACCAGTTATGCCCCTTATGTGCAATGGAAGCGTGTTGAACAGTCTCGGGCCTCTGATGTTGGAGTTCTCTCTCAGATTACCTATTGCACCTCTACTCTTTAAAAGGGGTATTCTGCACATCCTGCCATGCCTTCTGGTCTCATATGATGTTATTTCTATGTGCAGGTTTGAGACCAGCCCCTCTACTATTTTCCATGTGTAAATTATTATGGATCTCTCCCACCTGCGCTCAAGAGAATACAGATTTAGGCATTTTAGTTGGTCCCAATAGTTTAGATGTTTTACTGAGTGGATTCTAGCAGTCAACAATTTCTCCAGCTTTGAAATAGGCTGTCATTGTGCAGCAGTATTCCATTCTAGAGAGCACTAGTGTCTTGAAGAGTATCATCATTGGTATAGCATCTCTAATTTGAAAAATTCTTGTTATCCAACCTGTAATTTTTCTTGCAGTTGTGACGGCTACTTTATTGTGTTATTTTTTTTTTTGAGATATATACAAGAGTTGTTACATTCTTGTACAGCCACTAGTACGCGTAGCGTTTCGGGCAGGTCCCTGGAATACGATACCCGCTGCGAAGAATCGTTTTTTCATCCAAGTACACATTTTACTGTTGCGTTAAACAGAGGCTACAGTTAAGGAATTGCGCCCAGTAAATCCTCCCTGTAAATATAATTATAAAGTAAATATAATTTAATAGTAAGGTCTTTCTGACACGAGTCCACCCAAATCCTTTACATTGCTTTTTTGTTGTATGTTATGATTTGACTGTGTGGGGTTTTCTATTTTGTTTTCCCGACTGCAATGTGTACGTCACCAATTTACGTGTGGCAGACGCTTCACGAAGCTGTCGGAATCCAGTAGAGAAAATACGGGAGCAACCATACAGGGCCTGGGAGCAAGGTAGAGTTAGAGTCCTTGAGGGTCTCTTCTCAGACTAGCCTCACCTGGTCCTCATCCACATTGGTCGTTGGAATCTCCTCAATGCTTGAAACACTTAAGGGACTCCTAGGGTCCTCAACACATTTATAGATTTGTGAATAATAGGCAACTCGGTGTTGAAGACACCTGGAGCTGAAGGCTTAAGTAAATAGTTGGCAGTATTCAGAAGTGGTTCAACGGAAACACCGCATAAAGCTTAACAGTAGCTTATTTACAAACTTAACCACTAATACAAAGGGTGCTTGATTTACTTTGAATTGGTGTCAGAAAGGCTATGGTTGCATTAGCAAGATTCTTGACATTTGACTAATTGATTCAGATCCACTCGTGGAGAAACACCTAACTTAACACAATTGACAGCCAATCATTAACACGGCAAACCTAACTGGCGGTGTGCAAAGGGTCACAGGAGTTCCAACAGGATACTTGGGCAATGATGATCATGCACAATAAATCTCAATAACACACTCAGTGAGACAGGCAATGATCATGCACAATAATTATGTCACACAATAATTGTGTGGTTTATTTGAAACTCACATTCACAGACGAGTGTAATGTCGTGGTCCCACACAGATAAACACGCATGCACCGTTGGGTGTCTTGGTCTCCACCTATACCTGTGTCAGGTACAAGAAGGTGAGAACTGTGGTTGATCCCTCAGATCAACACTGAGACATTAATAATAAAGAAACAAGATCTTGTACTTACAGGTATGGCTACCTCTCTTATTCACTCACTCGTGCACATTCATGGAAGAACTCGTAGGTGGCCTGACAGCTGGTTTCGCTCGTTATGATGTGAGACTATTGACGACAGGCTTTACCAGCAAACAGTACTTGACATGGAGGGTACTTGCAGGAGGGCGCGCTTTATGTCTAGCAGACACACGCACACTGAGCTCTTCATGGTTGATGGTCCAGATTTTATTTTGTTGACTATTACACATTGCGTCCTATTAGTCAGGAAATTGTAGATCCATCTGCCTATTTTTCCGGTAATTCCTTTTGAAAGCATTTTGTATGCAATAACACCATGGTCACATTTGTCGAAGGCTTTTGCAAAATCTGTGATACTTATATCACTGTTTTGCTTGTCTTACATGGCATCTAAGGCCATGTCATAGTGGTCCAGCAATTGTGATAGGCAAGAGCGCTCTGTTCTCAAACCATGTTCTCCAGGGTTATAGAGATGCTGTGATTGCATGTATTTTATGATCTTACTTCTTAACACTCTTTCAAAGATTTTTATGATGTGTGATGTTAGTGCTATCAGTCTGTAATTTTTTGCCTCTGCCTTATTTTCCCCTTTATGGAGTGGTACTATCTCAGCTGTTTTTAGTATGTCAGGGATAATGCCAGTAGGCTTTGTCTTTGAAAAGTGCATAGGCATACTGTCTATGACTTCTTCAAAATCCAGTGGGCATAGGGTGGCATCTGATATATGATTTGATATTGGCATCACATCCATGAAAAATTGATTTGGGTTATGAATCTTCAGTGTGTTTAGTGGTTCGCTAAAAGCAAGAGTTGTACTGATTCCTCAATATTTCGCTCATTACTCTGTTGTCATCTGTGAAAGTTCCGTCTCCCTTTCGTGGGCTTGCTACTAGATGCAATTTTTTATCATGAATTTGCATGGAGGAAAAAATATTTTGGATTTCTTTCTATTTCACTGATGGCCTTTTGCTCTCTTTGTCTCTCTTGGATTTTGTATAATTCTTGTAGCTCTAGTTCAATTTTTTCTATTTCTCTACCTAACCTCCTTCGTCATTCTTGAGTTAGGGTGTGACTCTCAAGTTGTTCCGCAATTCGTTTTCTTTGCCTATGGTGGGAACGTCTTTCCCGTTCCAGTCTGCATCTCTTCCTCTTTTTTTCATAGGTGTATGCGGTTGGAACATATTTCTAGAGCTACCGAGTTTATTTTTTCTGGGCACTAGTTCAGATTTGGATTTTCTAGCTGTTCTTCTCAGGTTAGTTCTGTGAGTCCTTGGTTTATTTGCTCCCAGTTAATCTGTTTATTATTAAAATTGAATTTGCTTAATTCTCCTTCCCTGGGATTCGGGACTGGTTGTGCAGGTTTACTCCCCATGCTTGTCAGAACTTCAATTAGGTTGTGATCAGAGTAGCAGGTATTTGTAATCATTATATTCCTGATCAAGTCACCATTATTAATGAAAATGAGGTCCAGCGTGTTCTCTTTTCTGGTTGGTTCTACTATTTGCTGGTTTAAGGCAAATCTGTCGCACATCCGTAGCACGTGACTGTTCATTTAGGCTACTTCCCGGTATTCTCTCCGATATAACTGTAGTGGCTAGATGCGTCCATTTCAGGTGCCGTAGAAGTCCCTAAGCAGGGATGATGTTCGGGGCTGGATTTGTGAGGTTTTCCAAGCTGTGTTCTATTTTCATTAGTTGGTCTTTAAACTGCTGAGGATTGGCCTCTGGTGACTTTTATACAAGGATAATAACTACATTTAGGATCTCTATTTTGATTATCAGTACTTCCACCATATCGTTTGTGGTGTTTAACAGCTCAGTATAGATGAATGTATCTTTGATGTACAGGCTGACCCCACCCTGTAGCCTGTGTTTCCTGTCACATCTGAAAAGATTGTACGCTGAGATCCATATTTCACCATCATGGTAGTCCTTTGTGTGGGTTTCCATAAAGGCTGCAAACACTGTATTTGCCTCATGTAGGAGGCCTTTGATAAAAATAAAGTGAACTTTGTTAGAATTGCGTGTTTTTATATTCTGGTTGTTGGCAAATAATAATGTTATGTTTGTGGAATTGCTGGATCCTTTACTTGATGTTAATATCTGTGGCTCTGGTAGGGAGGCCACTGTGTGTGTGTGTCCTCTCTAGCATTTGACCGAGTTGGTGGTACAGTCTGGACATTTTTAGCCATTCTTCTCTTCTTTCTCTTGCTAAAAAAAAATCATCCTGGTCGATAGAGTTGTGGCCGTTTTCATAGTGGTGGTATGTCGGTTTTATTCACCTGGTACCTCATATATGAAAAGCTGGACATTTTGTGTTGTGTGTTGTGTTGTTTCTTGAAATTGTCTTTATTCAGCTGAGCTTCAGTTCCTACTCAAACAGCAAGTGCCAACACCTGGACTTGTCAGGTCATTCATCAGAGCTGGTCAGGGAATGGGTTGTGGGTCCAAAATTAAGAATCATGATAGGTAGTCTATAAGCAGGTAACCATTGAATTTATAAAATTTATTATTATGTAGTAATTATACTGGAGTCATGTTTAGTTCTGTATCGTTTTACAAGTTCTAACAATGTCTTTAAAATGACAGTCACATGTGCAGGTACAGTACTTACACATAATTAATTTTGGACTAATAAGTGCTGAAGTACACTTTAGTGTCAACATAAAATCTCTTAGTTCAATGTATGTATGTATGTATGTATGTATGTATGTATGTATGTATGTATGTATGTATGTATGTATGTATGTATGTATGTATATATATATATATATATATATATATATATATATATATATATATATATATATATATATATATATATATATATATATATATATATATATATATATATATATATATATATATATATATATATAATATATAATATATATAAATAAAATATAAACTTCAAACAACTTTCATTACTTTTTAATACTTTGAAGAATATGCATTTTCATGGAAAATGGGACACTAATTATTTATGGTGCTCTCTTATATAAGCTAGATTATTTTATTGTTAATTTTTTTATTAGTAAATTAGTTGATCATATTCTGAATGAGACATTAAAATGCTGTACGTAATAAGTTTTACACTTTGAGATGTTTGATATAAAAGTTTGCGTCAGATGTACCATTTTAAAGTTATGAAACCTTGATAAAACACTAGTACTGAACTATAATGTAGATTTTAAAGCATTATAATGACAACTTTAAATGGAATGCACTAGGAAGTGTTGTGGTGGAGGCTGACTCCATACAGTTTCATATGTAGATAGGGTTGTTGAGTACAGTATTTAAAAATAATGATTTATATTGACAAACAAAACTGTAAAACTAATAATTTATAAACATTAAAATGTTTAATGTTGATAAATTTTATCAGAAAATAAAGTAATTGAGTTTGTATTGAGTATTCTGTATTTCCATTGTACATTGACTAAAACTCCAGTTGATTCAGCCGTCCCTTTTCTCAAGTGCAGAGTTCAACAACTACTGTCTTTGTTTTCTCCTGCACATATATGGTAAATAAATTACAAATTAAGGTAGTGAACTGTCAAAGTAAATTTTTCTGAACAAACCAAACTGCCTACAGGTGTCGTTATGTACAGAGCCTCTACGAGAGCTTAGTAATCCTGGAGCGAGTGGCAGCATCTTTTACCTCACCAATGATGATGAGTTCATCATCAAGACTGTGCAGCATAAGGAAGCAGAGTTCCTCCAAAAGTTGTTGCCAGGATACTATATGGTAAGCTTCATTTGGATTATTATCTTGCATTATTAATACAGTATTGTACTGTAGTGTAATTGTCATACGGGTAATTGTAAGAATATGATGGGTAATGATCTTTTTGAACATGAGCTGCCATGCTGTTGATAATACTCTATACTGCAATCTGAAACCTTAAGTGTATGTAGACGAACAGTTTGGATGCTACCAGCCCCACTGAAGACAGAAAAAAAATGGTCAACATAACAAATGTATGGAAAATATTCATTGTCCCCATTCCAGCAGTCAGATTCCTAAAATTCTTTTCTTTTTGAATGAAGTCTTTTGAATACTTTACTTTCAGATAAATGATAAATTACCATCAGACATTGAAGATGATTTTCTTTCAAGATTTAGTCTTCAAGAGGGAACTAGATATGACAATTCAGGCACTGCCTGATTATTTGGTTTGTGGTACCTATATTGGACTATAACCTATAAACACTAATAGTTGTGTTGATTGGAAGGCTACATGTCAGGTGTTTTGTACTCGACCCAGAAATTGTCATACTCTTTGCTTAAACATTTTCTGTTAAATTTAGCTGTACAAAGGGATACATATGCTATTTGGGATTTTATATGTACAACAATTTAAAAGGTTATTTACTGTACTGTACATCAAGAGGTTTGTGTTACATTTAAGCAAACTTAAGGTTGCATGTGTAATTTGCTAAATGTCATGTTTTTTCTGTAGGGGAGTCCCTACGGCTTCTTGGAGCTTACTGGGCTGATATATATGTATTAGACCGTGGCATCAGTCGATTGGAGTACTTTTGCCTTCCGGGGAAACTAGCCAGAAACTAGCCTCCTCAATGAGACTAGGGAAGCAATGGAAACTCCCATGTGTTTGGAAGCATTCCATGTCTGCCATTAACCGGGGTTGGCATAACCAGAAAGGTAGGCATAACAAAACAAACTTCACATGGTACACTTTACTACACAAAAGCTGAACAGCCGGTCGGCCGAGCGGACAGCACACTGGACTTGTGATCCTGTGGTCCCGGGTTCGATCCCGGGCGCCGGCGAGAAACAATGGGCAGAGTTTCTTTCACCCTATGCCCCTGTTACCTAGCAGTAAAATAGGTACCTGGGTGTTAGTCAGCTGGCACGGGCAGCTTCCTGAGGGTTGAGGCCTGGTCGAGGACCGGGCCGCGGGGACACTAAGCCCCGAAATCATCTCAAGATAAGGGAGGCAGAACTCCCAAAGTAAAACAAGCAAACAAGCTAACGTCACTAACGCAGTCACGTCAATCGGTTGCGCAGCTTCTGGATTTTTCTGCTTTTCCGCTGGACTAAGGGTTTTCTATGGGGGCTGAGGGTGTGGAAGATGGCTCTGCCCTGGGTCCTGAGGTGGAGGATCCTGGGGCTGGGAAGGAGTTGACTTGGGTAACATGGGTCCCGTTTGATCCGCTTGGGTGTTGGTACCCTCTTCGTGGGGCTTGTTGCAGCGGGAGGGATTTTCTTATTCCCCCTTCCTGTATGGGTATGATTTGGCATCGGCTCCTCCCCAGGTTCGGTTCAAGATTCCTTTGGGTTCTTCAGTGCCTACTTTCCGGAGGTTTTCGGCTTCTCAAATTCTGCCAGGGAGGTTCTGGAGGCCTTCGCTGTGTACCTCCTGCGAGATCCAGATTACGCATTGGTTATGGATCTCTCTTCTTTTAAGTTCGGGTTGACTTTCCCCTATTGGGTGCGTTACAAGATAACGGAGTCTTCTTGGCTGCTGGACTGCCCTTTCTTTTCGTTGGGAGCATGGGATGGGTTTTGTTGGACTCACACTCTTGATTGGCGGGAGACATTTACTGTTATACAGGTTTCCTGGGAGGTGAGTTTGAGCGCCTTAATGCTTGCTTATTCGTCCCTGTGCTTCCTAGAGATGCTGTTGTGTACTCGAGGTGCAGGTTCCGGCCCTTTCAGCTGCCTTGGTTGCTAAGAACTTGTGCACCCATTGGCATTTGGCCTTGGTCTTGCGTTTCTTTTTCAATCTCGAGCTGTCCTCAGATTGGCTTGAGGAGGATGTGGAGGCATTGGGTGTCGAGTCTTCGTCCAGTGCGCTTGCCTCGGCTGCTCGGGCGTCAGCTGCCTTGTTAAAGTTGTTTGCGCCAATTCTCAGGGAAGTGGTCTCTGATTTTTGCTTCTTGCCTCGCGTGTCAACAGGCTTTGCTTGCGCTCTCCTTGGAATCTGCTTGGGCTCTGGCTCTTAGGTTTTCGTTGCCTTTTTGTCCGTTGCTGTTTGCAGAGTCTGCTGTCATGCAGTTTCTGCAGGCAGCCTTGTCTAGTTGCCATCTCATGTCGGACTTGTTGGTTCTCTGGCACCAACAAGTCCGCTTGATTCAGCCTCTGGGAGCCTTGTGTCAGTTGCTGCGTCACTGGCTTCCTCTTCGTTTATTTTGGGGTTCAATGCTATGGTGCCTACCCAACCCGCCCTCTCAAAAATAACGTTTTTCGCTCGTATGCGCGCTACGGCCAAAAACTGACTTTTAGTAATCCTAAATGAAATCGACTCGTGAAAGTGATGTACTGTCCCATTTTCTGTTTGGGTCCTCCAGCTTAGTCTGTTAGGTTAGGTTAAGAGAGGAACTCACTGGCCAGGGTCAGTGAGCTCACAGCATGGTACAGGTGTTTGACTGGCCCTTCAGAGGGTTCGGGTCGCTCGGGGTCCGACCATCTGGCTCCATTCGGACTGTACTCCAGTGGTTCATTATCTGAACCGCAGAGGTTCTCTTCAGTCCTTGGTTCTATGGGGCTGGTCGCTTTGAGTGATTCGTTTGCTGGATTTTTGGGGGTTTGGTTCCGTACGGTTCATATCCGGGGGGGGTTTCCAATGTTCTGGCAGACAGCCAGTCATGGTTCATTCCCTTCTATGGAATGGACAGTCGACGTCAACTCCTTCAGTTGGCTCTGCCGGACTTACGGACTCCTGGAGGTGAACCTCTTCACGTCGCCATGGTCTAGGCAGCTTCCAGTGTATATGGTGACCTTCCCTGACCGCGAGGCCGTCACGGTGGATGCTTTTTGGCAGGACTGGTCAAGGTGGGGTTACCTGTACCTTTTCTCTCCGGTCCTGATGTTGCTTCGGGTCCTGGCTCGTTTGGTGACTTACCTGGGGAGAGTAGTCCTGTTGGCCCCTTGGTGGCCTCCCCAGCTTTGGTTTTCGGTGCTGCTTGCTCGGTGTCTGAACTCCTGCGGCTCTGCCTCTTTCAGCAGATCGGGCTGGAACAGTATGTTACTGGTTCGATCTACTCCTCTGTTCTTCGTATCTGGTCATTTTGACACAGGTATATCACCATCTGTATGATGATCAGGTGGCTTCGTTTAGTGTCCCACCTTCAAGCTTTGTCTCGGCGACTATGAAGTTTCCCGGCTTTATTTTTGTAATTTTCTCCCCCTTCGTAGGTTGTCTATTTCGGATCGGGTTGTTTTGTCCTCTTTCTTGGCTTTTTCAGGACCGTCATTTGATACTGCATACTGTTGCCTCATATTGTGCAGCACTGGCGGAGCTGCTTCAGCTTGCTTTCGGGATGGATGTTACTTCAGCCTTTGTCGTAAGCTTTCTCGTGCATTGTTTCACCTCCGTCCTTCTTATGCGCCGCCTGAGCTGTCCTTTTCTTTGGACCGGGTGGTCTCTCTTCTATTCGGTTTGTGGTGGCCCTTTTGGTTCAGGATTAGTTTTCCAAGGCTCTTTTTTCCTGTTGGAATTGGTCTCTGGGGATCAGGTCGGGGAGCTTCATGCTCTCTTCCGGCGCAGAGGTTTCTGCTCTTTCGATCCTGGTAGTAGGTTTGTTCGGTTGCAGCTGTCTCCTCCTTTTCTGGTGAAGAACGAGTCAGCGGTTTTCCAGAGGGGCCCCTTGGGTTGTTGATGCATGGTTGGTCAGGCCGGGGGTGCATCATGTGTTGTCTCTGGTTGTGGCTCTTTGTCGTTACCTGTGCTCCACGGCCTTTGTGGCAGGGGATGCACTTTGGGGTGACCCGGTCTCCCTTCTTCCCTATTCCAGGGCTTGGGTCTTCCAGGGTGTCTGCAGAGTTATTCGGTCCATCCAGTCTGTGGTCTATCTTCGTGCCCACGATGTTCGTAAGTTTGCTGCTTTGGCTACTGTCTTTGGTAACATGTCTTGGGCCGACATTCGAGCACAAAGATTTTGGAGGTCGAACAGTATCCTGGCCGCCTGTTACCTGGTCAACGTTGCTGGTCCTAGTAGGGCATGTGTCGTTTTAGGTCACAGGCTGCAGCAAGTTGTCTCGACTTTGAGTTGAGGTGCGAGTGGCGGTTTCCTCCCTGGTCCCTCTTATCCATGTCTTTGGTTAGATAGCTCTAGCGAGCTGTAGGGGCTCCCTAAAGAAAACCAGCGTTGAATGTAATGAAACGCCATTTTCTGGGTGAGCTCTGGAGGCTCCCCTGCACCCCTCCCTTCCTCCGGTTGGCGGTTTTTCGTGTTTCTTGATGCTCGGCTTCTGAACTGATAGCTGGAGCGGCCGGCACAGGGGGAGCTGCTTGGACGATCGATGCGACGGCGTTAGTGACATTTGCTTGTTTGCTTATTTTACTTTTAGCATTCTGCCTCCCTGTTTGGCTTTTAGGTACCAATTTTTACCATGTGGGGTTTGTTTTGTTTTGCCTACCGTTCTGGGTACCATCCCTGATCGATGGCAGACATGGAATGCTTCCAAACACATGGGGGGTTCCATAGACCATATCACCCTTAGCCTCCCTGAAGGGGCCATGTTCTGTCTCGTGGTCACGGTAGGCAAAAGAACTCCAATTGACTGATGCCACGGTCTAATACATACATATCTAATACATACATATTACATTCAATGCTGGTTTTCCAATTTATGCCATATATTTTTGTATTTCAATTAATTTTGTATTTTATATTTTTCAGAATCTGAACCAAAATCCTAGAACGTTATTGCCAAAGTTTTTTGGCTTGTATAATTATCAGGTTAGTTTATCTTAAATTTGTTTCTATGTTGTACCATTATCCTAAGAATGTGTAATTATTGTTATATTGTGCAGCTGTTCTCTATTATGCCTTTCCACTTATTTTTTCCTTCATTGTAAATGTCTCATCTGTTTAGAGATCAAAACTATAGTTTAACTTGGTTCGTTCATAATTTTTCTTTAAAGAAATCTGCAACCAAACTTTGCGGTGTGTTGAAATGTCATCCAGATCACCACTATAAGGTAGACAAGATTGTGAAAGTCATTTTAAGACTGGACTAAATATATTTTCGGCTGCATAGTTTTAGAGAAATTTAGCTTCTGAGGACTTTTATACTGTATAAAATGGTTTGTTTTTTGTTAGAAAGTCTCTTCTGTACTTGCTGCTGATAAAGCTTGTAATAAAGGCCTTTTATTAGGAAACATTGTTTGATAATTTGCTATTTTGTTGGTCAAGAGCATTATTTTACTGGATTCACTTGCACTCTAGCAGAGATAGCAAATATTCACAATTTAACAGAAGAGGTATATACACAGAAATCACACTAGCGTGATGCATCAAATGAACAAATTCACAAGGGCCGTGATGAGGGTTCGAACTTACTCCCGGGATGATCCCAGAGGCTGCCTGAGTCGACTAGGCCACAACATGGTAAAAGAATTGTAACCGGGAGTTCCACTGACCTCACACGGATCCTGCAGCCTCTCCGGGAGACAAACCAGGATTTTATACACTTCCCCTATGTGGGGGATTTATTGTGAAATTGTGAAATTGTGGGGGATTTACAGAATACCCCACAATTCTTTTACCATGTCGTTGACCAGTCGACTTGGGCAACATCTGGGATCGTCCCGGGCACAAGTTCGAATCCTCATCACGGCCCTTATGAATTTGTTCATTTGATGCATCACACTATTATGATTTCTGTGTATAATGAAGTGAGGGCGAAGAGGTAGAACAGCTTGTTAGTAGAGCCCGAGTGCACGGGGGGAATTGTGTAAAACCCTGGATTGTGTCTTGGAGAGGCTGCAGGATCCGTGTGAGGTCAGTGGAACTCCCGGTCACAGTTCTTTTACCATTTCGTGGCCTAGTCGATTAAGGCAGCGCCTGGGATAATCCCGGGCACAAGTTCAAACCCTCATCACGGCCCTTGTGGATTTGTTTAGAAGAGGTATATTTTAAAGGATTGTTTGGTTGGCCATAAAAGCATTTCTGTGGGACACAGTTCACCTAGTGTCATTGTTGGTTCTCATGTTTAGCCACATTGGTATCCTATTTGGTTATGTGGCACAAATTCTTAAGTTTGGATCCTGTTTTGAAAATTATTTTTATACTTTCTACTATACTTTTATACTTTATATGCTTTTTATACTTTATACTATACTCTATTCAAACTCATTTTATATTTGTGTATATGTGAAGTCACCCGTGTTAGCTTTGTATTGTTTTATGCAGTTTCTGATTATTTAAGTATATGATAGCTGCACAATCGTAAAGAATTAACACTTTTGCACACCCAGCATGCGCGTCCCAACCCACCCCAAGGTGGGCCTGGCGTTTCCTGGGAGTGCTCACCCACACTAACATAGTTACTCTTGCCAGTATTTTGACCTCAATTTTCAAGCAATATCGTTCATGTTGGTATCAAATTGTTCATAATCTAATGGCGTGCATTTTAAACCTAGTCCCATAATAATCAAACAATAAATGGAATTTTTTTTTTTTTTTAATTATGGAGGCTTATCACCACACAACTATTTATAATCTGTCCAGTGCTCTCACCTAAATTGCCATACTGCGTCATTCATTTTGGTATCAAATTGTTCGCAATCTAAAGGCACGTATTTTAAAACAATTCCCGTAATGACCAGATAAAAAATATAATTTTAACAAATATTTTAAATTTTGACGCAACATGCATCACCAGCAGACATCCTTTAATTTATTTATTGATGCAGACTGTGTCGCCACCGGACGAAAGTATTAACACTTTCGCGCTCTCGGCGCTCAAAAAAAAAACAATACCCCAGATGCTTTCGGCACTTCGCGCGCCTACGCGGTAAGACCGAAAAGTGTACACTCTTTTGACTGTCCTGACAATAATTGGAGGCGCACGTATTTAAATTTGGTATCACTGTGTTCGTAATGAAATTGTCTATAAGAGCATACCTATAAACTGCCGCCCAAGCATAAGGAGTATCAACACCAAATAAAAAACTATGCAGATCACTCGCCGAGAGCGCCAAACAGCAACAAAATGTTTCCACTCTCTTAATGGTTGCGAAGCCTACAGTTGTCCTACATCGCTAATTTTGGTATCCTTGGAATCGCAATAAAATTATCTACACGGACATATGCATATGAATGTTTAATATAGGTAATTGCCCACCCGCAAGAGTGTGTGAAGTGGAGAGTAGTTAGCCGCGAGCGCACTGGCGAAAACACAGGGGGGAAATCATGCTTGGAAAGTTTATACGTTTCCTGACCCTTTTTTTTCTATGTACGTATTTCTTTTTTATACCAATGTGTTTGCAATAAAATTTTGTATAAGATGAACTGTATAACATTTGTACAAAGCATGTGTAAGAGAAGCGCCAAATATAGAACCACGTCGCTCAGTATGCGTTCGCGGCAGAAACGAACGCATTGTTTTCGTTCGTTTGATGTTTGTCATGTTTATACTTGTTGAAACATTTTATAATTTGTATGACAGTGATCGCAGTAAAATTCCCTACACAGACATATACATAACACATACAAATATTTCCCACGTGTTGGATATATCAACGGCTAAAGGGAACCCACTGCCACACGCTCGCCACACCCCCAAACATACTTTGTGTATTTTTTTTTTTACTCATAGAAGTTTATGTGATATAATATTCATTCTGGTACCAAAACATTCGCAAATAAATTCTCTACAAAACAAAAGTATCCCCATCCATTTCGGTTAAAAAATGGAATTTATAGAAATATTTTTTCGATGGACGAGAAAAGTAGGCTGTTATGCGGAATCGTAAGAGAAAACGGCGACGAGTTATCTCTAATCTAAAGCGCGAAAGTGTTAAGCTTATGTTTACTACAAACTAGCTCTTGAACTGCAAGGTGGGCAATGAATAGTTGCTCCATTATGTTTACATAGGTTTTTATATCTTCTATAGCATGTTACATCTTATAAGCACCTTATTACATTCTGTACTTTAAGTATACAGAAATGGCAGAAATAGGTGCGATGGGTGATAGGAAGTATAATTGCAGATTTTCGGTATTCCTGCACAAGGTGACAATTGATCCTACTAACAACTGACAGTAGCATTTACCAGGTCCAGGTGTCTTGCTTTTAAGTTTAGGGACCTGGGCAGACATTACGGGAAAAAGTTTTTTCCTAGACAGCTAATGGCAGAGGCTGCATATGTATTGGAAGGCTATTTGCCTTGCATTAAATATTGTGTAGGCTTGTGGGTAGGATTTTGTTCATATAGGTAGGAAAATAGGCAGGCAGGCAGGCAGGGCTATTTGGCTTGTAGGTGGGCAGTCAGTGGACTGTCATGTGGGTGGGAGTTTAATTACCTAAGTGTAGTTACAGGATGAGAGCTACGCTCGTGATGTCCCGTCTTCCCAGCTCTCTTTGTCATATAACGCTTTGGAATTACTAACGGTTTTGGCCTCCTCCACTTTTTCACCAAATTTGTTCCAACTATCTACCACTCTGTTTGCGGAAGTGAATTTTCTTATATTTCTTTGGCATCTTTGTTTAGTTAGTTTAAATTTATGATGTCTTATTCTTGAAGTTCCAGATCTCGGGAAATCTTCCCTATCAATTTTATCAATCCCCATTACCATTTTGTATGTAGTGATCATATTGCCTCTTTTTCTTCTATCTTATAGTTTTGGCATATTTAATGCCTCTAACCTCTCCTTGTAGCTCTTGTCCTTCAGTTCTGGGAGCTATTTAGTTGCATGTCTTTGCACCTTTTCCAGTTTGTTGATGTGTTTCTTAAGATATGGGCACCATACAACTGCTGCATATTCCAGCTTTGGCCTAACAAAAGTCGTGAACAATTTCTTTAGTATTTCACCATTGATGTACAGTGGTACCTCGCATAACGATCGCCCCAAAAGGCGAACTTTTTGGGTAACGACTGGCCTGATCGGCGACAAATCGTCCCGTATGGCAAACGCTCGTTTGAGTAACGCCAATACCACATGGACCACATGGTGGGGTCGCGCTGCTTCTTGCACATTTTTGGACGCCTTCGACGAAGCAAATAAGTTGTTGTTCTTGTTTAAAGATGCTAATGATGCTGGGATATAAAGAGGTGACTGCTGAGATGTTGCAAAGCATTGATGTTTTTGTAGAAAAAAGAAATGAAATTTCTGTAATGCAACAAATGTCAAAAAGGTTCGTTCAGTGTTCGGCAGGTAGGCTGCTCAATTATAATAATCTTTTTGTATCAAATGTGTTCCATTTTTTTTGTATTTGTCATTTACGTCTCAATAATGAAACAACCTACCTTACATACACTGAACAAACTTTTATGACATTTTTCTTTCTTCAAATTTGTTCAATATTTATTTTTAATTTGTCTTATAGCAAAAGGTTCATTTGGTGGTCGGCAGGTAGGCTGCTCCATGGTTCTTACATAAAAAAACGAAAATAAAAAAAATTAAGAATTTTAAAAACCAGAACAAATGTCAAAAAGGTTCGTTCGGTTGTCTACAGGTAGGCTGCTCCATATTTCTTAAATAAAAAAAAAAGAAAAAGAAAAAAACAGTTAAACAATTTGAAAAATGGACAAATGCCATAAAGGTTTGTTCAGTGTTTGTCGGGTAGGCTACTCCATTATTGTGATGTAAATGAAAAATACAAAATATATGGAACACATTTGAAATAAAGATTGTTATAATGGAGCAGCCTACCTGTCAAACACTGAACGAACCTTTATGACATTTGTCCATTTTGAAAATTGTTTCAACTTTTTTTTTTATTTTTTATTTTT